CCATTTTAACTTCTTCTCCTTGGCAGTGACATCGCAGATTATTGACTGTGCTCTCTTCCATTGCAGGTTGTTTACCGTCACAAGTTTCTACTTCTTCCTTCCAGTTCTCTTACGGCCTGAAACTAGATCTTCCAATTGGTCGCTTTCAGCCGTTTGGTTAAAATCTTTCGTTGATGAATTCCACCTTTCGATTGCCAGTTGTAAAATATCGGCAACCCGACATCACTTTCTCGCTTGCAGTACTGCCAGAGGGTCCTTACAGTGCGATCTTCACTCTTTCACTTGTTCATTCCGCCGGCTGTCCACGATCAAGAGTCGATCAGGAGACCAGCATGAAACAAGGATAAACAGGGTAGAGACAAGTCTGATGTCAATGGGGAACTGCTGCTTCTACGATACAGTAATCGATGCCTTATGGTAAAGCGTTATGAAGCTGCGAATTCAGCGGATATCAAAACTGACACTCTGTTACCAAACGATACCGTGTACCGCAATATTCTACACGTTGCAACAGTTAAAGAACAAACAGTCCAGCATGCAGCACGAAACTTACCTATGGGACTAAGGAGGACGGTTCAACTACGTACAACGACATTGGCTTCATCGCATAAGGAGGAATAAATGGCAGGGCAAAGTCAGTAATGAATACATTCTCTGCCAGAAATGGGTCACTTCAACAGATATAGAGATTAAGACGAATTAGTTTGGAATAAACCACTTGCTCTCGCCCATTTAAGCTTCGGGCGAGAGAGTCGAAATATGGCAGATGTCAACTCGGAGGCCCCTGCAATCAGGAAGAACAAAGTAGAGGCAAATCTGTTTATGGAGGAGAATACTTCCTTCGCACTGCAGTAACCGATGCCTTAGTAAAAGTATCGTACAGCTGCGAATACAGAAGACGTTCTGCGAATGCGAATGGTGCAAGATCTCAGATCTGATCTCAAAAACACGCAACATACCACATTAAGTTTGCAGCTGGAAATCAAAACGTTACAACCTTACAACCAATGTCATTTCATGCAAAATAAAAAGTGGCAGTCAGTAATATAAAACAAATATTTAGCAAGTGTCTAAACTTGTGGAGAGGAATGCACATACATACACTGAAAACTTGTACGGAAAATACTTGCCATTTTCACTGTATTGCCATTGTGCTGGCGGCTCAGACTAAAACCTTTCGCCATGTCGTCCCGCACCTACCCAAGTGATTCGTGTTAGTGATTTTAACGGCAGTGGTCGCAATGATCTTCAGTTTACTCATGCGTTTGTCTCTTACCTCCAAAGAACATGTAGGTGCTCCTTACCCATAACTGCCATTGATTGCATATTCTGTTGTTTGCTTAATGCAGCATGATTGTAGCATTCGAAAATCGTTCTTGATCACGCTTGACGTAGGACGATCCAATTGAAAAATATGGGCTGCCTGACGATGAGGTAATGTAAGCACTGCATAATCATTACTCTAAAGGTCAACGTCGTCGTTTCGCTTGACGCCGATGCCACGTGATGCCGCTATTATGCCGTATCTTAGTCAGTTTACACCGGAACTTCAGTGGTGTAATATTCTTTCTGCCAATTACTGGATGTTATCACCTTAATTATCGTCTGTATATTCGCTCTGGTTTATTGCCACGACATTGTATGCCATGTTTTCAGAGGGTGCATAAAAAATTTTATAAAACGATTTCTCTTTTATTTTCACATAAATTAATATGAGGCGATGTTCCCATAAACTTTTTTTATTGACTGTCAAGTACGTTGACTACATTATCCACTGTGCATTGCGCAGGGTCAGCTGAAAGAGTGGCAAGTCGAGAAATCGCGAGAGGACCAACTGAAGTACCCAGCAGCAGTATTGGTCAATAAGGCAGCACGGGGATGAAACGAATTCTTGAGCTGCAGTTGATCAGCAAATTGTATGAACCTGTATAAAGCCTGAAGATATCAGACCAGACAAATGACTGCATAGTTGACCATCTTGAGCTCTTGATTGAAAAGTAATATTCATTGTATGAAGTCTGGAAACATCTGCTGTCCTTCAACGTTATGCAGCTCGTCTTCATGATTTGTAACAAGGTTATCTATGAATATCTTCAGACTACTATCATACCCACTATATCATGAACGAGAAGGTGCTGTAAGCAGAAACTGCTGCCTGTCTCAAATGCGTGAAACGATGATCAAGAGAGAATAAAAATCTATTTAAAGCGTTTCACGTTGACTGTTAACCACTGCAGGCCTGGGGTAACTGCAGAACGTCAAAACGCTTCTCAGAAACACGTCAGCAAGCATGCACACAACGAAAGACTGAAAGGCTATTTTAAACAATTTGATATAACAAATCTAAGCCATCAACCCTGATTTCAAGTTTACATTTTCAGATTCAGTTTCAGATTCATAGCCTTACGTACAATGGCAACAATCAGAAGTTATGATAACGCCATGATAGTTAGGGTGGTATTATACACCACATAAACATCGAAGTATGTTCCAACCACCGAGTGCGTTAAATGGCGCATAACTCTCCTAGACATGATTCAGCGAGGCATTGCGCTGCCTGATTGCTATTAATTACCTAGGGGACTCACTTAAGAAAGCCCCGACTCCATGGCATGTGAACACCTCCAGTACCACAGGAATATAGCATCGATTTTTCGCTAGATCCCCTGAGCTCATTACAAACGATGTTTCAGGAGCTGGTTCTCCTCATATGCTACAGCATTGACAAAGAGGCGGCCCTAGCGAATGAAACTTAAATGTTCCCTCGGGAGGGATAATACACTATTAAATCTGGTCTTGGAAAAGTTATGCGTTTTTCGGACGGCATGATATTGCTTGCTGTAGCAATGCTAGTTTTTATCTACGGAAGTATTTATTATGAGATAGAGGATACGGCTACCGTCTGCTCGCCGTTTGGCCGACAGAAGTCGACTCAGGAAATTAAGAAATAATAGAAAATTGTTTTATTTTGAAGCTCGCACAATTTAAATGATTATCGCACATTATTAAAGGAAGAAATGTAAACTTGCCCCATTATGTTGATCGGAAGTCGCTTTAGGCGAAATCACCGAAATTTGTCGTTCTTCATCCATCATCAACTTCTGTGACTGTAAAAAAGAATAAAAATTTAAAATGGGAATCACCGAATCATGTACAAGGAAATTGTATAACATCAACTACCAAAAAAGTGGAATAAAATGAAAAACTTAAGCTTGTAAATAAATCGGAAAAGCAATTAATATTGTTGAACTGTGCATAAGCATCCCGGCCAATATGAATGATAAACCAAACAAAAATGCCGTGCCTAGGTGAGACAGCATCATACACGTGACCTTTTCATATACTGTGGGTTTTGTTTCTCACATGCTAATATTCTTCCCTGATTCTTCCTCGTGACTAATAAGGATCGCTCCTGCGTAGTCCCGAT